CTGCCGCAGCCCAGCCGGCAGATGTCCACCATGCGCTCGGCTCAGACCTTCTCCTCCGCCCTCGCCGAGATGCAGAAGTTTTACGGCATCACCGTCACTGGCGTCCTGGACGAGGAGACCAAGGCGTGAGTTTCTCCGTGTCCTCTTGCTGTAGCAGGAGGCAGCTCCGCTCCCTGGCTCTTTGGCTTTGCCCGCCGGCCCTGGAGCTCTGCCTGCACCTGGAAATGTGGGTGCTGTCTCCCATGGGAGCTGCATCTCCCCTTTTGGGGGCTGCACCCCTGCAGCCAGAACACCTCCCTCACCGTCCGCGGCTGCTGTAACCCCTCGGGGACCTTGGCTGCGGTGGGCTGAGCCCTGCCTTCGTGCCCTCCTGGCAGGTGGATGAAACGTCCCCGCTGCGGGGTCCCAGACCAGTTTGGGGCACGGATGAAGTCCAACATGCGGCGGAAGCGGTACGCGCTGACAGGGCGGCGCTGGAGCCAGAGCCATCTCACCTTCAGGTACCCAACATCTCCAGAGCTTCCCACCCCCCCAGCCCATGGAGAGCCATGGACCCCCCCCAGGGAGCGAGCGCTGTCCCGGGCCGTCCCCAGTGAGCTCTGTACCCCCAGCATCCAAAACTACACGGAGAAGCTGGGTCGGTACCACTCGTACGAGGCTGTCCGCCGAGCTTTCCGGGTGTGGGAGCAAGCCACGCCGCTGGTTTTCCGGGAGGTGCCCTACGAGGACATCCGGCAGAAGCGGAAGAAGGAGGCCGACATCATGGTGCTCTTCGCCTCCGGCTTCCACGGAGACAGCTCCCCCTTCGACGGCGTTGGGGGGTTTTTGGCTCATGCCTATTTTCCCGGTCCTGGCATGGGCGGGGACACGCATTTCGACTCGGATGAGCCCTGGACGCTGGAGAACACGGATGTGTCTGGTGAGTTGAGGGCCAAGGAGGTGGTGAGGGCAACCAGAGGAGCCTGGTGGGCTCCTGGGTTTGAGGGCAGGGGGATACGCTGGTGTGGGCAGGAGTGACGGGGAGAGCAGCTCCACCATGGGTGATGCAGGCAGTTCGCACCGGAGCACCCTCATCGCAGGGTGTTGGGGCCAAGGACCCACCCCATGCGTCGTGTCCTCCACCCCGTCTTGCTGATGGTGCCTTTCCCTGCAGGGAACAACCTTTTCTTGGTGGCCGTGCACGAGCTGGGGCACTCGCTGGGCTTGGAGCACTCCAGCAACCCCAGCGCTATCATGGCCCCCTTCTACCAGTGGATGGACACAGAGAACTTCCAGCTGCCCGAGGATGATCTCAAGGGCATCCAGCAGCTGTACGGTGAGGAGCTGGGTGGGGGGTCAGCCCGGAGGTGGGATGCTGGGCACATCTGTGGGGAAACTGAGGCACGGGCGCTGCTGGTCTGCGTCACTCCATCCCTTCTCTCGCCCACCCGATCCAGGTACCGCGGACGGGCACCCTCAGCCCACCAAGCCTTTGCCCACCGTGACACCCCGGAGACCTGGCAGGCCAGACCAGAGACCCCCTAAACCGCCCCCCCCGGGGAAACCGGAGCGACCCCCCAAACCTGGCAGCCCAGACCGACCTGACCAGTACGGCCCCGACATCTGCGACGGGAACTTTGACACGGTGGCGGCGC